GAAAACGTCTACAATACTTGCAGAAAAATTTTATTACACTGAAAAACTTTTTTTTAAACATAGGAGTATTTTCAAACAAAAATCAAAATTTACAAATTGATGGATTTCTTTAAAAAATGAACTTGAAAACCTTTAATATTGGGTATTTCCACCTCTAGCATTTATGCAAGCCTGGAGACGCCTGCCCATGCTGTCTATCAGATTGGTGATATGTTGTTGAGGAATATTTAGCCATTCTTCCTGAGCAGCATGAACAAGCTCTTGTAGAGTCCTGGGTGGGTTTCTGCGGGCTGCCACTGCCCTGGCAAGCATGTCCCAAGCATGTTCTATGGGATTCATGTCTGGCGATAGTGCGGGCCAGTCCAAACGATTGATTCCTTGCGTTTCCAGATACTCATTTACAGCTCTGGTACGGTAGGGTCGGGCGTTATCGTCCATAAAAACGAAAGCATCACCAACTGCTCCTCGCCATAGTCTGACGTAAGGACCTAGAATCTCTCTCATGTATCTGTCTCCAGTCATTATGCCCTGAACATAAATTAATTCTGTGCGACCATTAGACATGATTGCAGCCCAGAACATAGCACTTCCTCCTGCAAAGGGTGGCACGGGGCGTGCATAAGCAAGCTGGGCAGCTCTTGTTGGCTCTCTCCATACACGTATGCGACGACTATCCTGCACCAAACAAATTCTTGTTTCGTCAGAAAAAAACACCGAGTTCCAAAATTCTGCAGGTAAAGCCACGTGCTCTTGAGCCCAATGTAGCCGACGAACTTTGTGCTCTGGTTGCAGTCGAGGTACTCTAAGTGGTCGACGACACCTTAAATCTGTCGCGAGTATTCGTCTCCGCAATGTAGAGACCGATATTTGAACTCCCAAGCCATGACGCATATCTCTTTGGAGTGCTGGTATTGCCATGGTCGGGTTTCTTCGGATGGTTAAGTGAATATAACGGTTCTGTTGTTGATTAGTGACACGTCTTCTACCGCTTCTGGGTCTATCACGAAGAGAATTATTCTGGAGATAGCGATTCCAGGTGCGAGACACATCACTTTGACAAACACCAACTCTATTAGCTACGAACCTTTGAGAATGACCTTCTTCAATTAAAGCCACTATTCTTGCACGATCAATCTCACTTATGTCTTGTCGAGGCATCTTTGCGTGTGAATTCGTAAAATTCAACTGTCTTGACTCTAGAACTAGTCGCACCAAAAATGTGAACTTACAAAAAAAATTGTAAACATTTTTTTCGGGCAACAAATATGCGACTATTTAGGAAGATAAACATTGATAAACAAACCTAAAAAAAATTGCTGCCGCTAAAATTTTTTTTCGTTTAAATACAAGGTGATGCAAAACTTTTGAATCTATGTGTAGTTTTTGGCATTGGATAATTTTCTATTGCATTTAAATGCTCATTGCTTGGACTGATACCGGACTTATTAATTACATAACCTAAATGCTTTGTTTGAGTAAACAAAAAAGTACATTTGTCCAATCTCAAAGATAATTTGTTTTTTACCATTAATTCAAAAACTTCCCTAAGAATATTCAAATTTTCTTGGATAGTGCTTGTCGCTATAAGGATATCATCAATATAAATTAACAGTTTGTCAGAATCAATAAGGTCTTTGAAAATTGTGTAAATATATCTCATAAACACAGAAGGAGAATTCTTCAAACCAAAGGGCATTTTTAAAAATTCATATTGTGCTGATGGCGTTACAAAAGAAGTACCTATATTTGACAGACGCTTCGTCAATATCAACATGGTAAAAGGCACTTTTCAGATCTAAGTTCGTGAAGTATTTTTTACTTTTTAACTGTTCAATCTGTTCTTCAATTAAAGGTATGGGCCAATTTTCTCGCAACATAATCTTATTCAAGGTTCTAAAATCAATGCATAACCTAAAATCATTCGTCTTTTTCTTCACCAGGACTATTGGTGAACTATATTCTGAATTGGATTCCCTAATAACACCATCTCTTAACATATCTGATATTAATCCTTGAACAATATTTTTCTCGTTGAATGACAATCGTCTTGGCTTAAAAATAAAAAGGAGAATGATCTGGTTCTATCTTAATTTGCATTTTACACATAGTTTCAGGCTTCAAGGGTCTTTCAGGTTATACATAATTATTCAAAAATAAATTAACTAATCTCTGACGATCAATAGCATCGATTTCTGGATTAACATTCAGGTCTAATTCATTTGCATTTACATAATCGATGTGCAAGATTTCGTCAACTACCGTATTGAGACTAGTTTGAAGATTTAATGCACTTACCCTAACTTCGTTACGCTCAAAAGTAAAACATAGATCTTTGCTACACATAAAATCACGTCCAAGTAAACATTTCACAGGTATTGCTTCATTGGGTACCTACCATGTAAAATTTTAAATCCACTTCAATGTCACTATCTATAGATACCTTAAAGGTCAGAGACCCCAAAATTTCCAGTTTGGATCCATTTTTACCAGAAAACTCTCTGTCCATCACAGGATGTAATTCAAAATTGAATGGTTCAATAACATTTGCTGTTCGTAAAGATGCAACACTACCTGAGTCTAAGGTACCATCAATGTACACTTTGAAGACATCTTTTACGAGGCACACAGGTAAAATGAATCGGTTGGTCATGTTATCTTCAATAACTAGAGAGGTTTTCTCTTCCTTCACTTTCTTCTTTGGATATTCTGCTTGCTTGTGTTCTATTGAACCACAGTTAAAACATGATCCCCTTGCTCGTACTGGTTTTTGGCACTGAGAAGCATAGTGACCTACTTTGTTGCAGTTAAAGCAACGAACTGACTCAATTAGTTTTTACCTTTGTTTTCTTGGTGTTTTCTGTTAACATTATCTAAAGGCTTTAATTGTTTCTTACTTTGATCACTTTTTTTTTCAACCAATCTTGTTTTTCGAGCACTCACAATCCTCTCATACTCATAGGCTATTATGTCTTGGAACAAATTGTCCTCATCTACGTGTAATTTCGACATAATAAAATTACTCAGTTCTTTGGACCATAAACCTATGACAATTTGTTCTTTCAATTCCTCAAACTATAATCCCAAATCTTTGCATAATGCAGCCTTTGAATGGAAATAAATGCTGATATTTTCACCAGCTAACTGGACTCTGTCTTTCATACGCTTCCATAAATTAGTTTTGTTTTTCGGGAAAATAAGGGTCTTTTTGAAAGCCGATTTGAAAGAGTTCCAGTCGTAAATTTCGGAGGCTCTGCCAGCATACCAATATTTAGCAGCTCCTATTTTGCCGTATGAAAGATAAATGCATCTGGCCAATTGTGTAGCAGTGCCGTTGTTTCCAATTGTTGCAACCATGATTTTGCTTTTTCTAACTCATCTTCAGCACTGAACACTTCAATAGTTTTCGACAAATCAGGCATAACATTAAAATTTCTAACATTTGGTTCTTCATTTCTAACAGGTACTTGCTGATATTGCTGTTGGGATTGTTGCAATGCTTGCAACATTTGTGCATTCTGCTGCAAAAGTGCCGTGACAGTATTCATAAGCAATCCCATGTCAGAATTATTTTGCTGATTTTGTGGAGCATTTCCTGGAGAATTTTCCCTATTTTGTCGAGCATTTGCCCTCTGTTGTACAAAATTTTCGAAATAATTCGCATCATAGTCATAATTTTCATCCTCACCATGTGACATCTTCAAAAACTTTTGGTCAATATCCCACTTTTGAAGTTGTAGTCAGGTAGCTGTAAAACTCGATGGCTGGTTCGTAATTTAATGAAACACTGACTGAGAGCAATACTTATTTAATTTTCATAAAATTAATAATTTTACATTACAAGTGCATTTATGAACATGATTACAATAACGAATGTGAAAGATTGGAACGACGAGGTCGTAGACCGAGTCGTTCTAATCACACGAGTTTTGTAGTCATGTTTAAACGCACGCGTGATGTACAACGTTTTATCTACAAAGCGAAAAATAAGAATGTTTTTTCAATTATTTTCGATTATGAGTAGTTGTCTACCTTCATTTTACCTCAACAGATTTACCTTTGACGTTTGTCAAATCATCAAAAATAGTTGTGTTATAGATTCATAACCTCGTCCATAACACCACTAGTTGTGTTATGAATTCATAACCTAATCTATAACACCATTAGTTTTCCAAAATGACATTGAACCACATTTTACGTCACATCTTTGTTAATTTCAATCCGATCTTAACGTTATTAGGCTTGAAATGAAGCCAATTGAATTCTTTACAAATTTCTACTGAGTATTTTCAATGCAGCTCCAATAGTTGCAAAGCTGCAAAGCGTTAAAGCCTTTCGTTTACCAAGGTGAACAAGGTCTATGGAATAAACCACCCTCCCCTGAATTTGTGCAACCAATTCCTTACACTCATTGCAAATTTCTCCAAAGTCCCCAAAAATTATTCCAAACTGCTCGCAAATTCCCTGCAAATGCTTGTTACAAATCCCTGAAAATTCCCAAAATTGTATGTAAAAAGCAACGAATTCCTAAGTGGTTTGCCCCTTGGTAAATCAATAATAAAACGCACTTTTTGTCATTAACAAATAAAATTCAAAAACCCCCAAGAGAAACTCTATATTGTTAACAGACCCTTTTCCTATAGTAATTAGACAAACGCTTCACGTATCCCGCGGACTTTCCTGTGGGAAATTACCGGAACCGTTGTCGAGAAGAAATTCGATAAAATTCCACGTCGTAAAACAACAGTTTTAATGAAAACAAATTTCCTAGTAATATACAATGTTGGAGGAATAATAATTGTGTAAGTTTCTGGATAAAAATAATATCCGGGAGAGGTGTATTTCGTAGAAGATTACAATCAAGATTGTTGCAACGCAAAAATAGATTAGTCACATCATAATATGCGTAATGGCAATCATCTTAAAATGTTTACATAAGCATTGTTTATTGCTATTATATTAAATAACAATTACAGCTTACTTGGAAATAATCACCTCTAAGACCCCCGTGTGATTATTAATCAAATAAAATGCAAAATCTTTTGGGCAAATATTTGTAACAATATTTCGGGTATAAATAGGCCAAAAGAAACTAGGCTAATCATCACATCAGTAAGAATTTTGACTAAACAATACTAGCATCATGATGAAATTCTTAGTAGTTTTCGCTATTTTGGCTGTTGGCACTCAAGCCAAAACATTGCAACTCGTTAACGGTAGATCTTCTGGGATCCAAGTCAATGTGGGCAATGATCTTGTTTCATTGGTAGCTAATGGTGGGGTAAGTACCTACCTTGTTTACTTTACAATAAATAATAGAACCAAACAATATTTCTGTATTATAGACTGTCCTAGAACTAGAAGACAATTGGTCAGGTACAATTACAGCCGTACCAGAAAATGCTGAAGACACTACTGGACCAAAAACCAAATTGCAACTTAGCCTTGGAGCCAGTGACTCGTACAGCATTTCTTTGGAAGATGGTTTTAATGTAGGCTTGAAAGTAAGTTGCATACATTAGTTTTCAAAATAATTGCTTATTAATATTGTCCACACACAGATTATCCCAGTTGGTTCAACTAATTGTTTGGCCTCAGTTTGTGTAGCCAGCAGCATCTTGAGAGTTTGTCCTCTACTTGGCCAAGTAACAAACAGTAATGGTACTGTCGTGGGTTGTCAAAGTTCCCCTCTTTTGATGGCTAAGATTTGTCCTTTGGCTGTTGTTGATGCTATTACTGCTCTTATCAATGTCAGGACTTGTACCGATGCTACTGGTTATTTAGTTATCATTTCTTAAATAATTTAGCAAACCTACTTATTTGATTGTTGAATTTAAATTTGATTGTTTAATAAAATTGATTGATTGAATAACTGTGTTTTTATTAATGAGTTAAATGCGGTATGAAAACCACGAATAGTTCTCCAAGAAGCTAAGATTCTTCATTATTATTAAATTAGAAAATTAAATTAGTCTAGGGTCTTATTCTGTGAATTATTTCATTCCATCCATTGTGGCGTTAAACCACCTTACTTTGCATTATTATAGCAGAAAGCGTAAAATGAGAGAGATCTTAAGCCTTTTGGAGCCTTATTTCCATCGCTATCTTTGATGGTTTTCTGTGCTTAGGCCCTGCGCTAATCTTTAGTTCGTATTCAAAATTAACAAACAAATTGTTCCAAAGCCGCCATTTAAACCCATTGAAACTTATTGAATCGAGGATTTTTGAATAAACCAAAAGGTATTGTATGTGCCAGGCCAAAAATACTATAGGATCTCCCTAATTTTGCACATTTTGGTTCAACAGAAACTTCTAAAAGGGAATTATCTTGAAGATTTAAGTTAATTAGCGTGATAATTAGTAGATTAACTAGAGCTAGTGAAATTTGTATTGAAGTCAAATCCCTTCACTAAAAAACAAGGTCACAAACGAAGTTCAACTATGTAAAACTCTAATTTTTGTCCTTTTTTAACCTGCAAGAGCAGGAGCAAACTTGTGTCGAAGATACTTGTATGGTTCCATTGGTCTTGACGAATTCTGCAGCTAAATGATCGAGGAAGACCTGAAATTATTTCTCATCGAAATACCACATATTATGCCTAGTGAATTGGTAACGAAATATGGGTTGATACAGAAAAGCAACCTTACTCAAGAAGAAAATATTGTATCTATTGTGTTATTGTAATAATAAATTTTCAATAGTAATATAACTAGTGCAATGGAAATTATTGATAATTTTTGGGAAATTTGCCCGAATGCATTTTTAGTTGAAAAAGAGCACGAGTGCACATAGTGCACGAGTGCCTTTTTCAGTTAAAAACGCATGAGTGCAAATTTGTCAAAAATTATAAATATATTTCCAATGCACGAGTTGTATTTAATGAGAGAATTTCATAAATCAAAAATTTAAATTTTTTGTCAAAAAATGTCAAAACACCAGTTTTCGCACCAGTTACTATGCAATTATCTGATAATTTGCACTAGTGCAAATTATCACGTAATTACAATCTGATTGGTTCAAATTAACGAACAAAACATGTCAATTTATTGTTGAAATACCAGTTTTGACAGATGTATGAAATTCTCATAAATATTGACCAGTTTTTTGTTTTCACACTATACTTTTGGTTACTTCCCCATTATGAGCAGATAATTGATAATTACATGATTAGTTCTAGTTAAAAATGAGGCGTGTTAACAACACCATAGATAAATTTGGTCGTCAGAGAGTACTCGATACAAGAGTTGATAACTTCATTTCTTCATCGAAATGGGGAGTATTAACAACACAATAGATAAGTAAGTCCATGATGGAGTTCAAATTTTATGTAGTGTGTCAAGGATGGGATTTATGCAAAAATCGGATGGTCAATTTAATAATGTGGGAAAGCGTTTACTGAATGTTGTAATACCGGAATCCAGTAATGATGCTACTACCAAACAATATGTGGAAATTTATAAATCATGCACAAACAATCGACTGAATATATCAAGCTACTCATGACTGTTTGATAAGCATTGATGACCGAATGGTTACATTGGAAAATGAAATAGAAAGATATATTGCAAAAAAAGAAAGTATTGTATTGTAAAACAGGGCGGAACAATTTTACTAGAAGGCGAACGATTATTAAGGGTTATCTAGACTTGTGCAGCAATTTGCTGATGAAAATTATGGGAATCGCTACATTCTGGTATGCATCAATTATTATTCCAAATACCTACTTATACACTAGAGCTATTAAGAACAAAACAGGCATCGAAGCTACTAGGGCAATGAAAAGTATAATAGAATAAGCAGCATACACACCAATAAATAAACAAGGTGATCATGGAAAGGAATTTTTTAATAAGAATTTTCGAGCTCCTCTGGAGGAACACACTATTATACATTATTCAACCTATAGTACGATGAAGGCAGCAATTGTAGAGCGGGTTGTAAGGAACATCAAAAATAATCTATATAAGCAGTTCTCCATATCAGAGTATAGTTGATAAAGGATATAGGTACACCATCTTCGTCAACAGAACTCTTCAAGATAGTGAAAGTTAGCAAAACCAATCCATCTACATATCAGCTGGAATCCTTGGATGGTCAGCCAATTAAAGACTGTTTTTATGAAGCTGAGCTGCAGGAGACAAGAAGCCCAGATATTTATTCAGTTGAAAAAGTGCTTTGAATCTTAAACTTTTTCACTGAGAAACATGTTGAATGGGATAGTTCGAAAATATGGTGATGAAGATGAATCTAATAGAGATGCTGATGATGGGGTTTGCCAGCCTTCACTTAAATCTCAATATTGTCCTTCTGGAGTTAATGACTCGTGGGGAAAAGATGGTATGGAGAATCATTAAAAAATATTGCTGATGGTCTTTGTGGGGTTTCCCCTTCCTCTTCGTCACCCAAATCCCAACACAACACAAAATAAAATATCGGAAAGAGATTGTGCAGAATCACGTAAAAATTATGAGGAAGGTCTTCGTGGGGTTTGCAATTCTTCTTCACTCGAATACCAACGTTGTCCTTTTTGGCTAAATGACTCTAAAAGTAGATTAACTAATCTGATGAGTCTATAAGAACATCTGATGTGTGTATTGTTTGACTTGAGTGGTCAGATGAATTCGGCGAGTCTGATATTTCATATTGCTGTTTGATGGTTGCGGTATTCATTTTTCTGATTCTAAACTTTCACTGTTTAAGGTGTAGACTGTAGACAAACTAATTAATTTTAATTTAGAAATATGGGAATAAATACTGTGAATTTTGGTTGACAAGTCAATGGTGAATTAATGAAAATCCATTTTCTCGAGGTTGCTTTTGTCATATTCTTATTTTACTAGCTGCAATCAGGCCTTCTTCTCAACAACCAACAAGTTTTTCATGCCCTCCCTCATTGTCTTTTCCAAATCAGCTATTTTCTTCATAATATTTTCTTTCTTTGAATCATATCTTTTTATTTATTTTTTTAATGTAACCATTCGGTAATCAACGCCTATCAAACTGTCATAAGCAGCTTGATATATTTTGTTGATTCTTTGTGCGAACTCTTTGCATGATTTATGAATCTCCTCCAACACATATTGTTTGGTAGTAGCATCATCACTGGATTCCGGTATTGCAATATCCAGTAAACGCTTTCCAAACTATCCGATTTTTGCATAAATCCCACTCCCGCCACACCACGTAAAATTTGAACTCCATCATGGACTGTCTTCTGACGACCAAACTTATGTATTCTATTGTTAGCATTTCCCATTTCGATGAAGAAATAAAGTTATTAGAGATTAAACATGTCCTTTTGCGTATACGTAAACGTAAGTTTTGAACGTACGCATTCGCAGAAACATCAAATTCGCGTTCACGTACGCATGGGGCGAGGCATGGGGCCCGTGATTTACTCAAGTTTTTGTTACTTACCCCGTTGAAAAACTCGAAATTTTTGATACAAAATGAAGGAAACTCGAAGCCTCGTATTTTAAATTGATTTTCCCGATCAAAAACAGCCCGGAAACGTGGAAAATTCGAGGAAAAACTGGATAAAAATGTAAACACGTCAAATGAAAATAGCCGACTGTCAAAAATGACAAATGATATTTATTACAAAACCTCCTTGATTGAAGTTAGCGACAAGCGATGTTGCCACATCAAAAGCATTTTACATGGAATTTTGCTAATTATGGCATTTAGAAGTGGACATTTTTGCTAAAAAATGAAGAAAACCCAAAGCCTCGTATGTTAAATCGCTTTTTTCCATTAAAAATCCCCAAAAAAGTCGAAAATTTGAGAAAGAACTGGCAAATATTCACAAGATGTCACTTCAAAATGGACGACTAAAAGCAACATTGCCACATTACATCTCGGAAAACCAAAATAACATTTTAAATAGTTTTTTGTTTAAAATTCTATTAAAAATTGTTAAATAATTAATAAATAATGATTATAATAATTAAAATTCCCTAGATAAAGCATCGGAAACTTGTTTTTAGGTTAATTTCAATGAAAATGACATTACAAGGTTTAATTGTTGATTATAGTAAGACAAAGACAACGATAAAATAGTATATGTTTGCAAAAACCGCCGTTTTCTGAAAAAAGTAAAAATCTTAAGAAAACCCATTAGAAAACCAACATTCCAAAATCAACTTGATAAAACTACAGTTTTTGAATATTCCCGGCTCTTTGATTGGGCGCTAAAAATCGCATTTTGAATATTCCTGGTTTTTGATTGGCTCCAAATTATCCGCTGACCAATAGAATTATAAACTGGGCCCCGTGAATAAAATAACTCCGGCCCTTCGGGCTCTCGTATAACTCCGGCCCTTCGGGCTCGCGTATAACTCCGGCTTTTCGGGCACGCGTATAACTCCGGCCCTTCGGGCTCGCATATAATTAACAGTTTCCTCGATTGAAATCGGCCTGGAAAAGTGGAAAATTCGAGGAGAAACTGGATGAAAGAAAACACTCGAAAATGGTCGACTATCTAAAATGCCAAATGACATCACATTACAAGACCTACTTGATCAAAAGCGACATTGCCATAATTACAATCTCAAACATAATGTTTTTCCAGATTTTAGTGAGTAAAACAAAAAAGAAGATAAGGTAGGATACATTAGTAAAAAACCAAAAGCGATTATAAATGAGTAAGATAAAGAGTGAGATAAAGTAGGAAACAATTTAAATGATCACTTAGTCGAGCCAAACTATCATGAAAGTAAATTTTTGATTGTTCCCGGTTCAAACACTTGGAATCATTACTCAATTTTTTTTTGACAACTGACAAGCCTACATAAAATATTATGACTTTTGACAATTGACGAGTTCATTTTCAGGACCACCTACGATTGTTATGACTTTTTTTGTCAATTGACAGCCTTGTGATTCAGATTAAGGCCTACAACAGCAACTTCCCAACATTTTAACGGTAATTTTGGAGCATTTGTAATTGTAAATGTATATAAAACGTTGACAAGTGGCAATTGACATCAAGAAACGATTGTTATGATGTTGTAGGCTGATTGAAATTTTTAACTTTTGGCAACACTGTAACGCTAGAGGATTGAAATGGTGAGCCTGAAGGGCGAGAGTGTTTTCAATCTTGAGCCCACAGGGCAACAAAGAAACGCCACTTTGTATTGAGTTTTAATGAAAACAAGGCCTACTTTGAAACGTCAATTTTTTAACGTTTGTTGTATCATAAGTAGTATTGTCATATGTTTTTCTCAAATCTTTAGCCTGAATGGCCGGTGTTGTTTTAATTACATTACGAGTCCGAAGGGCCAAGGTTATACGAGCCCCAAGGGCCGGAGTAAGGTATATCAGTCCGTTTATTGTCAACTGATTTTAATACCTATTATGAATATTACAAGTCTGCTGTGACGCCTGGGCCGCACGAGAGCTACACTGAAGGAATCAGCGTGTCTTCCCTGGCCGAGTGGCCGGATAACCCGCTCTGGTACAATTTTTCTTTGATTTTGGTAAAAAAAATTTTTGCTCTCTGGCAACACTGAGATCACATAAAAATCCAAGTCTTCGTTAACACTTGGTGTGTGGTGTGTTATTGCTGATGTCACTCATTTTTAGAAATGTGGAAAATATAAATTATTCTTGATACTTATGTGCAAATTACAATATCTTAAAACTTATAACATACATTTTTCAAAAACTATCAATTAATAATATGCTATACGTACACCCCACACTTCAAGCACCCGAAATTTAAAAGAGACGTAGAGTTACCCCCATGTGAAGTTTGCCCTAAATATGACAATGTGTATTTATCATATAAAGAATTCATAATTTCAATGGTGTTTTGAAAGATACATAATTTTAGGAGAAATGTAACAAATTTGACGGCACCTTAGGGCCATATTCTCCGCAGTTCATAAAGCCTGGCTTAGTGGAAACGCTTTTTGTGTGACAAAGCCGAGCTTTTCCACTAAGCCAGGCTTTATGAACTCCGGAGAATATGGCCCTTAGACACACACGTTCAGAATAATTCACTAACACAATATTTCTAGTTAACTTTTAAGTTAACAGATCGTACTTCAAACGATGCCTCTGTGACTATGATACCTTTTCCTCGTTCGGAGGGAAAATTTATAGGTATTCCAACACCGTCAGCGGAAGTGCCTACTGCGCATGTGGTGCAAGATCAGCGGAAGTACCTACTCCGCATGCTCCCGCCACATCAGCGGAAGTAACTACTGCGCATGCAGTGCAATGTCAGCGGAAGTACCTACTGCGCATGCAGTGCATAATCAGAAATATACTGAAAATAAATACTCTGTTGGATCTTAAGAATCTCAAAGACGAGATGAAAAAGACCGGCATCAGAAATAATTCAAATCGCAGCAAGACTGGAATGGGATTCCTATAATCTCTGAGAAACAGATCAGACTCGAGGAAATCCTGGAAAGGCATAGGAATGATGGGCCGAACAAAGCTAACAAAATCAAGAATGCAATGAAAGAAGTACCTACTTGAGTTGGGAGTCTTCGTCAGGAGGAAAGGTGAACTGTTTCGCTAAGAAGTTGGAACCTTTGGAATTGATACTTTTGAGAAGGAAACTGTTCCTTCTTATAAGTAGGTGCCCATTCCATTCATATTTTATCAATTGAGAAAGCCTTTTACATTTTCCATCAATGTTCAGGTAAAAACTTAACATTTGATTTGATCCAACAACAAATTTTTTATCTCTAAATTGAATAAGAACTTTCATAATATTTATTATCATTCCTTCAATATATTGATTAGTTCCATCCCGAATGATATAATAATATGCATTGATTAACACAATATATCGAAAAATCTATGAGGGAGAATCCAAAAATATAGAGCAAAAATTACTAAAAATAAAAAGGACTTGCCTGCCAGACTTCTGTCGAGAAAAGAGAACGTTTCAGAAACCAAATCCCACAGGAAAACTTCAATGTTTTCTTTTAATTTTTAATTCCAAAACTCTTATAAAGTGATGAATAGTTTACCTTAAAACCTACTTTAATCATGATTTAAAATAATTCACTTACATTCGTTTGTAGCAAACAGAGCACACCCAATCGGTGGCTCTGAAATTGTACTCCCTACAGCCCTTGCAAACTTTCAAACGACACGATCTACAACAGGCACCTCTGTTGATCACCCTTCCCAGTTCTGCTCTACACCGTCCACATGTTCTGTCCGGGTCCTGTCCGGAATTATTGTCCCAATCGCTGGACACTTTCAATGCGCCTTTTCTACGCAAATTTTGCAGTTCTGCTTTCAATTGCCTGGAAAAAAGAACAACAATGAATAATTATTTGTATTGACCAAAATGGTATCAATCTCACAATAGAATATAAGTCATTGATCAAAGGTTTTCACAATAGGTCATTGCTAATGCAAGAATTTGGCCTATAAAAGAAGTTTCACTTTATTCATTAATGCTTTATTGTTATTGGGTTGCCTTGAAAAGAAAATTATTAAAGGAAAACGCCCGCGAGACTATAATAATAAAATCATTATGCAATGTCACACTTTTTTTTCTTATTCATGGGAAGTGCAGGCGGCACTTTTTATATTAATCGATTTGCTATTGATTATTATAAATATGGGTGTGAGACAATGCATTAATATTATCTTCATTATGAATCTTTATATGAAAAACCGACATGATGGGATTTATATTGTTTCTATAAGTATAATATGATAAATTATTGCCAATCCTTTTGTTACACTTGACCCAAATTATCGCAAAAACCATATGCATCCGGTAGATCGAAAAATATCTAATACATTCTAATTGCCCACACACATTATTATAAAGTGCCAGATATTTAAGGCAATTCTTACCATCATTAGAACAATTTTGGAAAATTGTAAATCGAGAAAGCATTGGCTAAAATGAGTCTTTTCTTATGGAGTTTCCAAAGCAAATTTTCATTAATTAAAATTAAACTAGTGGCGTTAAAACAAGACACATTCGTGTGCATTATAATAACTACCTACCTATTTTACATTGGTTGGTTAAATTTTACTTTCAAAACTAGTTTTAAGCGTTTTTGCTCTCGTTCCTATATTACGTTACCTGTGGGGCTTTCGTCATACGCTGGCTGGTGCACACGTTTTGTTTTAGACTCGTGCATTTACTTACTCTAATTAGGGAGTAAACTTTACAAGGATAGTGCATTAATGCTAAGAGCGAGTTCATTTGGAATTAATTTGATAGTAACAGTAATTGTAGGTAGGCAAAGGAGTTGTGAGAATTCGAAATTTATTTATAGGAAATTTCATGGTACTTTTTTTTGCCCCGACTATATGTAACCTTGATATTTTATACGCGGATTAGTCAAGGTTCCATGGAGCTTTATTATTATCTGGTTCTTTTTGTTGCTTTTGATTTTGTTAAGATAATTGCGTTTCTACCTGATGGACTTTTTTAAGTTTTCAGATGATATTGGATTCGTGAGAAGATGATGAATACCTAAGTATATCATATTTTGGAAACGGAAACTACAGAATTTCTCTAAAACAGTTTGAAATTTCGAGGCCTCATTTCAATTTGAGTTGAAATTTTTTCTGAGTTTCCAGTAACGACATAGAACTATCAGTAGAAGCTCTGAGATTTGGAGCCGGAATCCATGAAAAAAAGACACTATTTCTGGAACTATAAGTCCAAATGAGCTGAAATTTTCAGGGATTGTAGTCCTCTACTGGAATAGAAATCGCTGAAAATTTCAGCTTTTTATCTATAACAGAAAAAAAGTTATGACTTTTCAAAGTTTTCCAAAATCTAAATCATAAGGTAGCTACCTCAGTACTAAAACGATGAAATATCACAAAAAAAATTGTGGAGATTTTGTGTCTTAATGGTCCTTTGGGACTCCCCAAACTCCATACACTAAATTATTCTGAGATTTGGAGCTGGATTCTATGAAAAAAGGCACTCAGAAAAATTGAAAAATAGATAAACCACCTCAAATTGCTTAACACAATTTTATTTCGGAAACTATTAGTCCAAATGAGCTGAAATTTTCAGGGATGGTAGTTTTCTACTGTAATAAGAATTGCTGATAATTTCAGGTTTCCATCTGAAATAGAAAAAAAGTTATGACCTTTCAAAATTCTATTTCTGGAACTATAGGTTCAAATGAGCTCAAATTTTCAGGAATTATAGTCCTCTACTGGAGTAAGAATCGCTGAAAATTTCAGCTTTCCATCTAAAATAGAAAAAAAGTTATGACCTTTCAAAGTTTTCCAAAATCTAAATCATAAGGTAGCTACCTCAGTTCTAAAACAATGAAATTTCAAGTAAAATTTTGTGAAGATTTTGGGTCTTAATGGTCCTTTGGGACCCTCCAAACTCCATACACTAAATTATTCTGAGATTTGAAGCCGTATTCTATGAAAAAAGGCACTCAGAAAAATTGAAAAATTGATAAATCACCCCAAATCGCTTAACACGATTTCATTTCGGGAACTATTAGTCCAAATGAGCTGAAATTTTCAGGAATTGTAGTCCTCTACTGGAATAAGAATCGCTGAAAATTTCAGCTTTCTATCTAAAATAGAAAAAAGTTATGACCTTTCAAAGTTTTCCAAAATCTAAATCATAAGATAAGGTAGCTACCTTAGTGAGAAATCGCTTTTCAAAACTTGAATCTTGTATTGGTGCCGAGCACTTAGAGCTCTAAAGGAACTATAGAGTGAGCTCAAAGAGCCTCAAAATACTCCAAATTTAGATTAAGAATCATTTTATAAGATTTTGAAAGATCTATTTTGAGAATTTAGATGTTCTTGAAGAAACTATGAGCCCAAAGAACTCAAAATACTTTAAATACAAATCAGACTTCAGGAAATTGGTTTTGAGAATTTGGATCTTAAGTTGTTGCCAAGCAGATTATACACTAATTAGGTTCAGCAATTACTTTCTCAAGTGCTCTAGTTCAATTTCAACTCTACCAGAGCCAATTAGAAAAACTTCAAGTTTCAACTATTCAATCTCACTCCAAAGTTCAAAAAACAACTCTTTGAACTGCCAGGGCCCAACATTTACTTCAAAATGGACAAAAATCAGAGTTCCGTAAGGCTCAAGTTCAATTTCAACTTATCAAAACTTCAAGTTTCAACAGTCGAATTCCATTAAAATTTGAATATTCCATGAGAATTCTTCGGGATTTCACTTTGAGATTACATAGAATTTCACTATAAAATTTCATGGAATTCCACTAAGATCAAGTCATTTAATGGGAATTCTTCGGAATTGCAGCATAAAATTTCACGGAATTCCTCAATTCGACGCAATGACGTCAAAATTTCATGGGAATTCTACTGCATTTTCATGTAATTCAGTGGGAATTTCTTGGAATTTCAACGTTAACTTTGAAATGACAGAAATAAGAGTTTCATACCCCTCTATACTAATTTCAACTCTAGGAAAGACAATTTCAAAAATTCCAAGTTTCCACGATTGAATTTCACCTCAAGGAACTTTAAAAATCAACTTTTTGAACTGCCCAGGGTCCAACTTCAACTTTGAAATAAACAAAAATTATAGTTTCATACTTTTCCAGGATTTTCATGCTTCTTTATTTCAAATTTCAGCCTTAGGAAAGACGAGAATAGGATTTTTACGCTTTTCTTATTCAGTTTCAGACAAAATCGAGCTTAATTTCAATTCTGGAATTTAGAACATTATAGTTCTATGCCTTTTTACTCCAATTCAGATCTTAGATTCAATATAGACTGGTATGGACATTCCCAGAAATCGTAGGTAAGTACTCAATTTTACTCCGAGCGGCATTTCGTGCGACATTCGGCAACTTGACGTTTCTAGGATATTTCGAGCCCGCTGAATCCGAATCCGAATGTTGCCAAGCCGAATTTTACCTCCAAAGGCCTCATATCCAAGATGGCGGCCAAATACTAAAGGCCTAAATGACTATTTTTCTTAAAGTCTATCGTTTTTGACTGGCGAGCTGTCGTTTCATATGTTTTTGGGGTCACTGAACATGAATATGAGTACCAGAAGTCGATTCGAATATCGGAAGTACCATAATTCAAGATGGCGGCCGTCGGGGGCCTAAATTCAGAACTTTCAAAAGTTGGCATATTGTCAAGTAGTGCGGCGTATCGGCATATATGTTTTGATCAAAAATTAGCACCAGAAATCGATTAGGCAACCGGAAGTACCGTAATACAACATGGCGACCGGTTAGGGCCCAAATACCAAACTTTAAAAAGTTGCTATAATATAACGTGCTGGGTATGACCGCAAGTGTTTTGGAGGTCGGCAAACCTGTGTTAACATGTTTCCTATCACTTTTCCGACCTGAAAAAAAAGCACATCATATTGTAGCAACTTTTTAAAGTTTGGTATTTGAGTCCCAACCGGTCGCCATTTTGGATTACGGTACTTCCGGTTGCCTAATCGATTTATGGTGCTAATTTTTGATCTAGTCGACGTCAAAAACATACAGTCGTGAGCACAGAAAGTGGGATACTCGACTGACAGGTCTTGTCATTTTTCGCTATTTTGGTAAATCAGTCTTTTCTCTACAAGGGATTTTTTGTCAAATATGACAATCCCTGTCATTGTCCTAGGTATAGCTTGTGAGCCCGTTTTACAATAAGAAAAAACGGGAACACTTTTTGTGCTCATGACTGTATGTGCCCATACGTCGCATCTGACAATATGCCAACTTCTGAAAGTTCTGTAGGTCCCCGACGGCCGCCATCTTGAATTATGGTACTTCCGGTATCGAATCGACATATTCATGTTCAGCGACTCCAAAAACATATGAAACGACATCTCGCCGGTCAGTAACGTCAGTCAAGTTGCCGAATGTCGCACGAAATGCCGCTCGGAGTAAAATTTCTGAAAATGTCCACCAGTCTAATATACTCTTCATGGTCTATATAAATAGATAGAATCATCAAATATTTTTGTAAGTATGGGGATACCTTGTCCTTAAACCATATGGTTATAGAGAAATTCCGAGAATTCTGGCAACATCGCACAAAAAATTTGTGAAGCTTTGCATCTTTGCAGGGTTGTCAACAACCCGGGTTTTTGGAACTTTCTATTGGGTTTTTGGGGGATTTGTATTTCTGTAGGGTCTTTGTGTTTCCCTATACTTTACTGAAATTTTCCAAAAATGACACTGAGACAGTTTTTTGATTAAAGTCAACTAAATTCTCTACAAACCTAAAAATTTGGATTTGCATTTAGTTCCAGATATCTGTCACTATGGCAGGAATGAATTTGTTTTTCTAACAATGGGGTTTTGATGCAAAAAGCCCACTGGGTTTTTGTGTATGTTAACTCTACATATTTTATTGAACGAATAATACACATATTATTTAAAGAGGAAAATAATTGCTGATAAGTTATTATCTATGTAAACTTTTTCTATGTTCACCTCTACTAAAAAGAAAATGTTAATCATATTCTTTCCTATAATTCAGGGAAATTTTGATAAATGAGGCAACGAAGTTCAATAATTTAAGGTATTTTGACAGTCAAAGTGTTTTTCCTAAAGATTTAGGAAGTTCAAGAAATGTGGCAAAGTTGCACTGTCAAAATAGGTAGATATTTTTGTGTTGTTTGCTCTCTGTATACATTTCAGAACACCTTAAATTAATATACAGGGTGCATGGAAAACCATTATTAGCAATAATCAGCCTGCTCAATTTTTCAGACATTCTAAAAGAGAGCCTTTGAAGGCCCTACTTACAAGGTTTCTATAAAATCAAAATAGAATTCTACAATAATGAAGCTTCACTGGGGCTTTATTCCGATATCAACTGCCAGTATTGAATTTACCAAGGGGTAAACCACCATCCCAGAATTTGTGCAAGCAATTCCTCAAAGGGGAATTTTTTACACATAATTATCAAAATTGCTGCAAATTCCTCCAAATTTCCCACAAATTCCTCCAGATACCCAATCACAAACTTTTCCAAATACCCCACCACAAATTTCTCCAAATAACCCACAAATTCCTCTAAATTCCCTGCAAATTCCTCCAAATTACAGATAAACTTGTATCAACTTCAACTTAGCTTGAAGTTCCTTTACACTCAGGGTCATTTTTAAGGAGATTTTGTACCTCTTCTAAAAATCATAATCAATGCACTTTTAAAATTTATCCAAATTTCTGAAACAATGTCAGAACTAACTGATAAATGTTCACTTTTATTATGTTTTTCAATTAGGTATTATTTATTCAATTCAATTCAAATTTTTCCAGTAGAAGATAACAACATGGGGAATCTTGGAAATCAACCTACAAAATCTGAACTAATTGAAAATACAGTCTCATACATTTCAAAGTTTTCCTGGAATACAAGTGAAGGGAAAAATTTGAAACTTTTTGCATGTGAAGAGGAAGCTTAGAGGCTCATTTTCCCAAAATTTCAAATTTTTCCAGTGGAAAACACCACAATAAGAATCTTCGAAATCAACTTACAAAAACTGAATTAATTGAAAATACAGTTTCACACATTTCACAGTTTTCCTGGAAAACTAGTGAAGGGAGAAATTTGAAACTTTTTGCATGTGAAGAGAAAGGCTCTAGGCTCATTTTCTTATAAATTCAAATTTTCTCATTTGCAGATAATAACATGAAAAATCAAGGAAATCAACTTCCAAAAACTGAAATAATTGTTAGTACAGGCCCACACGATTCATATTTTTCTAGGCAAAAATAACAACATGAAGAATCTTGGAAATCAACTTACAAAAATTGAATTAGTCGAAAATACACCCTCACACATTTCAAAGTTTTCCTAGAAAACTAGTGAAGGGAGAAATTTGAAACTTTTTGCATGTAAATTATCTTAAAAAAACTGAAATAATTGTTAATACATACAGTCCCACACAATTCAAAGTTTTTCCTAGAAAACTAATTAGGGGAAAATTTTGAAACTTTTTGCATGTAAAGAGGAAGGTGAGAAGCTCATTCTCCCAAAATTTCAAATTTTTACAGTAGTGGAAAATAACAACATGAAGATTCTTGGAAATCAACCTGTCAAAAACTGAATTAGTTGATAATACCGTCTCACATTTCAAAGTTTTCCTGAAAAACTAGTGAAGTGAAAATTTTGAAACTTTTTGCATGTGGAGAGGAAGGTTAGAAGCTCATTTTCCGAAAATTTAAATTTTTTCCAGTAGAAAATAACAACATGAGGAATCTTGAAAATCAACCTTCAATAATTAAAAGTTGAAAATACAGTCTCACACATTTCAAAGTTTTCCTGGAAAACTAATGAAAAAAAAATTTTGAACCTTTTTGCATGTAAAGAGGAAGGTGAGAAGCTCATTTTCTCAAAATTTCAAATTTTTCCAGTGGAAAATAAAATGAAGAATTTTGGAAATTAACCTACAAAAACTGAATAAGTTAAAAATACCGTTTCACACATTTCAAAGTTTTCCTGGAAAACTAGTGAACGGAAAAATTTGGAACTTTTTGCATGTGAAGAGGAAGGTTAGAAGTTCATTTTCTCAAAATTTGAAATTTTTCCAACAGAAAATCACATGAAAAATCTTGGAAATCAACTCACAAAAACTGAATTAATTGAAAATACAGCCTCACACATTTCAAAGTTTTCATAGAACCCCATAGTGGCTAACGATGTTATCAGCGACCCAAAACCGAAAAAGTGTATTCAATGTTTGGTTGGTTGTTCGTGCCCTTCAAATGTAATTAGTAATTAGGATCGTCGGTTAATAGGACAGGTGAGGAATTTCCAAATTGTCCAACACAAAACTAGATTTTTTTAAAAATTTCCTTCAATAAGTGTTTCTTATAATAAGAATGTGAATCTCAGTGACATCATGACCCTACAATTTCCTTCAAATTTCTCATAAATTCCTCACAAATTCCCCATAAATTTTTCCAAATTCCCTATAAATTCCTCAAATTCTCATAAATTCCGATGAGTTCCTTCAAATTCCCCACAAATTCCTCTAAATTTCCCACATTTTTGGCAAAGAATTCTTAGGTGGTTTGCCCCTTCGAATTTATTGTGGTGATTTTACTGTCATTTACCGTTCGGATTTCAACAGCGTACTCTTGTGGTCATTCAGTACTGAATCGACTGAATCCAGCGTACTGAAAATAATATCGGAACGGCGTCCAGTAAATTCAGTATACTGTCAGTTGATATCGGAACATAGGCTGGGTTCCCCTCTATTTTCTATTAGAGCTGTGATTTTTTTTTCAAATTTAATAAAACATGCACAAGTAAATATATCGTCCCCCTTATCACGTAGGGGCGTATCTAACAAAAAAGTCTAAAATTGCGTTTTCAACAAATTTAGGCTTTCCTGAGGTACACTTTTGATCTCACGAAATGGCGTAACGGTATCTGTTATAGTTTCCTTTATAGGACTTATCTTATTGAGAAAGAAAAAAATATATCACGTAGAGGCGTATATGCAAACTTTATTTTTTTCCAAAAAATCTATAAAAGCCATTTTGAGTCCAGTACCTTATACTTATGAGAGCATATACATAAGGTTTTAGTGTAGAAAAATGACCATGATCTGTTCAAAAATGAAAACACCAGATAACATTACAAATAGTGCATTTTACATTTTATCGTCTCCTGAAAAAAATTACGAATTTCGATACGCCTCTACGTGATAAGGGGGACGATATGAGTCAGGATGACTCAATTTTGTGCTGTATTTATGATTCATATTGTTGACTTTTTAATGTCTCGCATCCTTTTATCTCCTAGAAATTCCATTAGTATGTATCTGATATGGTGGCAACAACCCGAAACTTTTGAAAAAGTTGTTTAATGAAAAGTCATGGGGCGTTTCCAGAACCGATTTTATCGTCACCGTATTTCACTTAGAGTCGACGAATTGATAAATGAATTGTTATTTATCGAGGCCAGAGCAAACTTTTATTAATGTTCTCACCGTTGACAATAGTTATCTATAAACTATATCCGGTGGTTATTCAGGCGTAAATGAATATAAATATATTCAGATTGATTTTGAGCACATCTTTTATTGGTTGCAAAATAATCTGTTTCGACATACAATGAAAAAAAAAAGACAAAGCTGACCATTTTTGGTGTTTGTCATTGAAGGTATTTTCCATTTGCAATTCTAATACAATTTTGTGTTGGTGGATAATAAAAATGATGCTGCATTTTTTACCCTCACATTTTTTTTACAAAATTCATTCAGCAAAAGAATACCCATACAACATATCATTGGGTTAATGACCCATGGTACATAAGGAATGGTACCATATACTTTGGTTCTACCCATGGCTTATTATCTCACCGTGTAATGTGTTATTAAATTTTTGCAACAATATGTGCTTTTCGGTTCCCATCGGCGACGGATGGATGGGTTTTGACCTTTGTGCGCTCAAGAGGAAGAAATGTCATGCAATAATGTAGGTACTGCTGGTACTTGGAATAACTGTTTTGAGATTAAAACTATTGTTAACCTTTTTAGAATGTAAAAGTAGGTTTAAGATTATAAATAATACCTTGATATTTAAAATAGGTAAATTTTAAAGTAGGTACATGGTACTCACACTTTAAAAATAACAATCCACACAGTCAAATAATTGTCACACAAACATAATTAAGAATTCAAAAATAATAAACGCGTTTCGAATTTTTATTTCTTTTTTTACTTGTTCTTCGGCGTTTTGCGCTTTGTTTATTCGATTCGCTCGTAAAATTAAACCACCTTTACGAAGTACCGGTCGGATTTCACTTTTGTGTATTATTTTTACTCTCCTAAGGAGATTGTCTTGAGAGGTACCTGCGGTACCACCTTCCACGTTGCCAGCGTTTGCAAGAAATTGCCCACTTATATTAGAAGTTGGTTGGTGCATGGGTTGATTTACTACTATAGGCATTTTTGTATCAAAGTTTTTTAAATTAAAAATGTTTGAATGTGTGACAACACTGCATGGTAGTTTGCGCAAGCCCATACAGGTAGGTACCACCACAATACAGTTACAGGACAGGTTTATTTTAACAATTAATCAAAGAATTATGGACACTTTTTCGTAAAAACCTAACTTATAATTAGATAATCAAAATTGATTACAAAATAATGTCAAGTCAAGCTATAGCAAACTTTTAGAACTTAATTATGAAATTTCTACACAGTTTTAATTGCATTTCCTCGAAGTGCAATTTCGATAAGTTAACATAATACGTGCAAGGAAGTCGTAGGTAGCTGTGTCACTTCCTCGTATAACAGTTTATTATAGTCGTGGTCATTTTAATTATAAGACTAAAGGAGGTTTTTACCTTATGAAGTTAAAAGATTACTATATACCGGAAGAAGATAGGCATCAACGTTAATTTACTTTTTCGTGCCTCAGTTATTGGATATTTGAAAGCGCCGATATGCTTTTTAGTTAATTGCCATCTCGTTAATTAAACTGGCTTCGGTTTCAAAGAATCGCCTAATTTGATATTTATTTGGTAAATTCTAGATGGCTTGTATTTATTAAATTTTCAAGCTAGATTTACTCTATTTTCATACTTTCGTTTAGAGAAAATCAGCTTTAAAATATACAAGGAGCATCTTTGTATAAAGAAATACAAAAATTTTCCAGCAAAAAAGTTCATTATTTCCATTTGGTTCCAGCATAATTATCAAGAGAACACACTTTTTTTTCCCTGAATGCTTTAAGTAAACAAGACGATTTTCCGCAGTAATTTTGTGCCCTTTAGAATAAGGAAACTGAGGAGGTGAATTTCTTTTTCGCTTTGCATTCTGAAAATACAAAAACGCAAACAATTTTCCGAGGAAATTTGAAGCAAAAGGAATCATTACGTGAAAAGTCAAGCAAAAACGTTGAGATTATTTTACAAAATCCTATCGGTAAAGTGAGGTAATTATTTAAGGGTTTCAAAGAATCCAAATGATTGATGTAAATGGTAGGAAATGGGAAGTAAAACATATTCCAAAGATCCTATAAAATTTCTTTCGAAAATACGGATCTTGAAATTGGTCCTGAATAGTCAGTTTATAAACCAATATTGTCAATATTGAGCTTCTCATGCAGATATAATATTCTCAAAGGATTCAAAAATACTCAATATTCAAAACAAGAATAGTTTTTATGAGAATTTTAAAGTGTTTTACTGGTAATCATCATCCTAGAGACCAATTAGTTTCTAAATTGATTGAGCTTCTCAAGAAACTATTTTGTACCCAAAGTATCTATTTAGTATTTAAAAAGTACGAAGGGTCTTACCAGATTTTGAAAAATAATGTTTTAAGGATATACAGCTGTATGCAACATCCTCTTTTAACTTAAAAGCGCTTTTTAAACCTGGTATCTTTAAAAATTTGTATGGTTTAGAATACACATTTTTGAGTGACCAGTTTTAAAAAGCGCTTTTAAGTTAAAAGAGGATTTTTCATACAGCTGTTAGATTTTAAATTAATACTGAGCTGCTATACAAAGTCCTAAAACAGTCAGTTTGTACCTTAATAATTAAGCTTCTCAATGAATAATTGTGATATGCCCTAAGGGCAAAATACTTAATTCAAATTAACAATAGTTTAATGAGTCTTTGTGAAGTGCTCTAGTTCAATTTCAATTATCACAAATCTGAGTCTTATATTTCCCTATATGTTGTTTTGAAGATCTCCATAAGATGTCATAAATTCACATCTTAAAAACAACTATTTGGTACAACCAGGCCTAAAAGTGAATAATCGTTTATGTATTGAAAAGAGATTCGAAGACGTCTTTAAGACATTTCGTTCTAGACGTCTTTAGAATGTCTGAAGACGTTTTTATACAGACGTCTGAAGACGTTGGGTTGTTACACTTCTTCAAGATGTCTTTGAGAAGCTTAAAGATGTTGTAGGGATATCTTCCACATAATTCGTTTCTCATTGAATTTAGAAACTTACTGGAAATCATTTAGAATGCTACAAAACACATAAAACTTTTGGAAAGTTCAAATACTTAAAATTCAATTCAGAATTTTCAAAAGCATTCTGTAGAATCTTAGAACATTCTAGAAATTTCAGAATGTTCAAAAATCGATTCAAAATTTCCAAAAGCGAGCAAAATAGTTCAAATCCAAATTAGAATTATCAGGAGCATTTTGGAACATGAGTTATTTTAGAATAATTAGAATTCAATTTAGAACTAGAACTCTTTTGAACCGCAATTTAGAACACTTTGGAGCCTCAGTAGGGCTTTAAAATACTTGAAAATCTGTCAGAACAATTTAGAAATTACTGAAAAACCTTTGGAATGCTCCAGAACTCTTCAAGCCAACTTGGAACACTTAAGAACTTCAATAAGCCGTTCCAAAACAATTTCCAGCAGCATTTTTAAAGACTTCAGAACGATTAAAAAACTTCAGAATTATTTCAAACAGCCAAGTGCCTGGAATAAGAATAAATTTTCGAAGTTAACAAAGATCAAGATCTGGTTAAAAAAAAGTTTGCAAAACAATGACTAGATTTCAGATTCTCAAGAGTGTTTCTAAAGAAGAATTAGGAAATTTGCGAAATAAAAATAACTAGGATATCAGTATGCAAAATGTCTGGATTGATTTCACGAAAGTATAATTTAAGATTTGGGAAATGTTCTCCAACAAAAATAGAATAGGTATTCGCAAAAAAAATATTTAGAATCCGGAGTCCGGTATCTGACAAGTTCTTTCAAGGGAAGAATTAAGAAATTTGCAAATTATTAATTCGGAATTAAATATCCAAGAGTTTCTTCATGAAAGCATTAATAAGACATTCTTAAGTTTTGTATAATTCAGGATTTCAAGATTTGAAGAAAACCAGAACAGTTGCAAATTCAAGATCGCCGGACGCGTCTCAAGAAAAATCAGGAATTTTGCAAATGATTCAGACTTCATTTTCAAAAGTTTGCATAATTCATCATTCATGTTGCAATAACGATTGAATTTCACCTCAAGAGGTTTAAAAATCAACTTTTAGAACTGCCAAGGCCTAATCTCAACTTTGAAATGGACAGAAATCAGAGTTTTATGAATCTCTAGTCTAAGTTTAACTGTACGAAAGCCAATTATACTAGTTTCAACGATTGAATTTCAACTGAAACAGGTTTTAAAATCAACTTTTTGAACTGCCAGGGCCCAACTTGAACTTTAAAATGGACAGATATCAGGGTTTTATGCTTCTCAAAGAACTATGTATGCAGTTCAATTTCAACTATACGAAAACCAACTAATAGGTATAAAAGTTTCAATTATTGAATTTCACCTGAAAGAGATTTAGAAATCAACTTTTTGAACTGCCAGGGCCCAACTTCAACTTTGAAATGAACAGAAATCAGAGTTTTATACTTCTCAATCAAAGAACTATAATGGAGTGAACCCAAAGGACCAAAGGCCCACAGACACTTTTGAGATTTTGAATCGCAAATTGGTCCCGAGCCCTTCAGACACGCCACAGATTCAAGAGCACTCAGTTAATATACTAATTAAGCTTTTCAAGGAAGTGTAATGTGCCCCAACCTGGAAATTCATAATTTAAGAGACTTTGAAAAAATACTTTTGAGATTTTGGATCGCAAATTGGTGCCGAGCCCTTCGGGCACGCCACAGGTTCAAGAGCATTCAGTTTATACACTAATTAAGGTTTTCAAGGACTTGTAACGTGCTCAGAATACTCAAATAATGGATATTCTAGTTCTAGGGTGTTCTGAACTGGAATGTGCCTTTTGTTATCTGAGAGAGTTTTTACTTAAAGAAAAGGACGAAACATTACCTTTACAATGAACAAAATTGAGAGTTGCATACAATCAATCTTCTGAAAGAACTATAATGGAGTGGGCCCAAAGGGTCCAAAATACCTACAATTCAAATTGGAAATTCATAGTAGGTATTATGAGACTTTGAAGAGACACTTTTGAGATTTTGGATCGTGTTTTGGTGCCGAGCCCTTTAGGTGCGTCACAGGTTCAAGAACATTCAGTTCATACACTAATTAGGCTTTTCAAGGACCTGTAATCTGCCCCAAGGTGCTCAGAATACTCAAATAATGAATATTTTTGTTCTAGGGTGTTTTATTATTTGAGAGAGTTTTTACTTAAATCTGGGCATAAAGAAAGGGGCGAAACATTAACTTCGAAATGCACAAAAATCAGTTTCATACTTTTCAATCTTCACAAAGAACTATAATGGAGTGGCCCCAAAGGGCTCAAAATACCTACAATTCAAATTGGAAATTCATAGTTTTATGAGAATTTGAAGTGACACTTTTGAGATTTTGGATCGTAAATTGGTGCCGAGCCCTTTGGGTGCGTCACAGATTCAGGAGCACTCAGTATATACACTAATAATTAAGCTTTTCAAGGACCTTGTAATGTGCCCCAAAGTGCTCAAAAATACTCAAATAAAAAATATTTTGGTTCTAGGTGTTCTGAAATGTGTCCGTTGTTATCTGAGAGAATTTTTACTTAAAGAAAAGGATGGAACATTACCATTACAATGAACAAAAATGAGAGTTTCATAGAATCAATCTTCTCAAAGAACTATAATGGAGTGGGCCCGAAGGGCTCAAAATACCAAATTGTAAATTCATAGTTTTGCGAGACTTTGAAGAAATACTTTTGAGATTTTGGATCGCAAACTGGTGCAGAGCCCTCCGGGCCCGCCACAGGTTCAGGAGCACTCAGTTCGTACACTAATTAAGCTTTTCAAGGACCTGTAATGTGCCCCAAAGTGCTCAGAATACTCAAATAATGAATATTTTAGT